TCTGTGCTGGCAGCACGGAGCCTGCTTGAGATACTCTCCCTCCCTCTCTCTGCCCCTCCCCCATCACACTGTCTCTGTCTCTCAAATAAGATGAAATAAAACTTAAAAAAGAAATCTGCATATTCTGACTATTGATTGAGAAATCATGTCGTTGGGGAATGGCCTGTGTAAACCCTTGGTTTTTGCTTTCTGTACCAAGATGAAGTCTGGTTCTTTAATTCACTGTTGCATTTCTCTTGTAGGTGGTAGGTTATGCTTTTGACCAAGTGGACGATCACTTACACACCCCCTATCATGAAACAGTCTACTCTTTGCTGGATACCCTCAGCCCTGCCTACCGGGAAGCATTTGGAAACGCACTCCTTCAAAGACTGGAAGCTTTGAAAAGGGATGGACAGTCATGACTAAGCTTTTTCCTTCTAGAGGGAGCTGCTGCTGGTACAAAATGTTGACATAAAGCTTGAAATTCTTACATATTGTCATAGTGGAAAACGCATCTTTGGTTTTAGGTCTATCATTTCTTGCTTCAAATTTAGGCTTTTGACTCATATTATTATTGACTAATGGATTCTCTTAGTTTTGGATTCATTAAGGGAATCCTGAGGCCATTGCTGTGACACCATCATTAAGACCTTCAAATTTCTTCATATAGTATCTCTGCGTTTCAAAACCTAATCAGTATTTCATTCTGTTGTTTCAGGATTTCAATGCTGCCAGCACTGTCTTTTACATAGGAAATTCTAGGTTTGCACAGTAATAGACAGGAATTAAAATGACCTAACTTCAGACTTTGATTCAGCTTGCTGAATCAGGGGTCTGCTACTAGCTTGGACTGACTTTGTAGTAATTATTTTGCTACTAGCCTTATCGGAAACAAATTATCAACTAGTTTCCCCTGCACAAATTTTGGAATTCACTGCTTCACCTAATCTATTTATATTACTAATATGGACTGATACAGATGAATTAATTATATATATTACTTCGCTAGTATTAAATGGAAAACAGGTACTGAAATGATAGTTCTGTATTCCTTGTTTGCAACAGCCAGCCAACTAAGAGGACAAACCGTTAGCAAATGAATGTAGTAATCACTTGTTTCCAAGATATTGAAGCACATAAGCAAATATAGGAACAGGCTCCATTTTTCTTAACGAAAAAACATCTTCAGCGTGTGTGTGATTGAAAAGGATGAAGATTCTGATGTCCTAGAAGACAATATTTTGGCCTGTGTTGATTCTTATTATGAATGTTTGTTTACATAATGTACAGTATATATTCAGAAAGTATTTTTGCTTCTACGTTTGTTTTCTCTAATGCAGTGCTCTGGTATTCCCGCAGCTCCCCCCACCCCCCGCCCTTTCCCAACAGATGCACAGTGTGCCGTCTCCATGCTAAATCTGAATGTAATGTGAGTGCATCGTGTGGGTTTGAAACCAAAGGATGAGTGGAACATTCAGAAGCTTAATATTTAAAAGAGGGAGACTTGGTTTTTATATTTGATTACAGGTACTAATATTTATAAAAAATAAACTGTGCCATGCTGCTACATGGTTTCAAGTACACGTGGGATATGAAGGATCGGGGAGTCGACTTTTTAGTAGCAATCTAAAGCAGCAGCTGTGGAAATGTTGAACTACATTCTGCATCTGGACGCACCTTCGTAATTTGTCATCTGCGGACCTTTTTGAATCATGATTAGGCAATAGGTACTTTTAGGCTCTGAAGGTCATGTAGACCAGATTGAAGTTTGGTTTGTATCAGTATTCATTGTCAAAGGTCACCGCAAGGCTCTACCTATGTTTGCTAAATGCGTGTTCATTCACAACTTTATTTTCAGATGCTAACTGTTTGGGCAGTGAAGTCCAACTGCAGGTCGGATTTTCTCACGCTACTCTCAGGCTAAATAAATGTAAAGGAGATTTATAAAGTTTGAATAAAATTCTGTTTACTCATTCTGAGCTAAGTATGAACAAAAGTGATTGTATGTTCAAAATTGACATTGTCCGTTTTGTGATAAGTGGCTGGTTCCAGGAGCTTTTGTGTCCATTTTTGAATTCCATATTGTTACATTTTGTTGTCAGGTGATTTGCTCTTTTTATTATTATGAAAGAGGAACACAGAGAGAAGACATTAATAAAGCTATACAGACACTAAAACTATTTCATCTAGGTTGTTTAAAGAATTTAGTAAGACAAAGTAAGAAGTAAAAGATAAAGGAAGCCTTGATTTCACTCCCCCAAAAAGGGGGAGGAAAAAAAGAAAAACCTCTAAATAAGTAACTCTTACAAGTCAACAAGAAAAAAAGGAAACAGTGGGCATATAATATGATCAGACAACTCTGGAAAATATATAGATGTTCAGGAACCACTTGAAAGATATTCAACCTGACCAGAAAAAAGGAAAGGAAAGGAAAATAGGGTTAGCTGTGTATTTCACCTAATAATTTAATAACTTCTCTTATTTAAATATAATCATTTCAATAAGGATTTAGTGAGGGGCACTCTTACATTCTGTCAGAGGGTATATTGAAACCTTTCTGGAAAACACTGGTAATAGAGCCTTTATAAAAAGCTTTTAACTTATGGACTGGTAGTATCTTAGCTATCTAGCGTAGGGAAGTGATTCAGCAGAAGATACACTACAAGGATATTCATTTTCTCTAACGAAACATTGGAAAGGCTCTAAAAAGTGGTTGTTATGCTATGTCCTGATGGAAAAATGTGCGGCCGTTAAAAATCATGAAGAAAGGGGCGCCTGGGTGGCTAGTCAGTGGAGCATCCCACTTCGGCTCAGGTCATGATCTCACGATCTGTGAGTTCGAGCCACACATCAGGCTCTCTGCTGTCAGCACAGAGCCCCCTTCAGTTCCTCTGTCCACCCCTCCCCACGTCAACCCCCCCCCCCACTCATGCGCTCTCAAAAATGAACTTCAAAAAATAATGAAAAAAAATGGCAACGGGAAAAAATTATACCACGTGAAAAAAAGATATCTAAAACTGTGATCTGTTTTCGAACAACGGGAAGAATAAAATGTTCTGCAGTGTTAACACGAGCTATCAGTAGGTGATAAGATCGGTGATTTCCGTCGTCTTCATACTTTTTCACAGTTTCTTCATTAGCTTCTAGGCGATAATTCGGCGAGATCTGGATGGTGCTTCAGCGGCCGAAGAACATTTTCCTCGCGAAAGCACCAAGCTGCACTGCATCGTGCTCACTCCCAGGACCCTTGAAGAGGCAGCTTGACTGCGAAGCCAGGACTGCCCGCCCACCCCCTTGCCCGGGACGACAGCCTTCCTCCCACCTTTCCTCCAGGTCAGCAGTGAATCGGCCGCTAGTGGTGTCCTTAGCCGCCTCCATCACACCGCGCTCTTCCCTGTCTGGTGTTCAAACACCCAGGATGTGCTGTTTGTCACGGGGAACGGGGTGAAACACAGATCCTGACGTGTGCCACGTGGACCTCCAAACTCTGCCCTCGGCCCCTTTGTTTTGGGGATGGCTTGGCCGAGAGGTGGACAGAGGGAGGGCCTTGCTCAGCAGTCCACCCGTGAGCACGTGTGGGGTCAGAACCCCGTCTTCCGTCTCCACCAACTGTCCCCATCCAGTGACACAAGCGTCACCTGAACTCCGTGGCTGCAGGCTTACTTCATTTTATTGCACTTCACAGATAATTCAGGGGAGGGGGGAGGCAGGGCGGACAGTTCCCACAAATTAAAGGTATATCTGTGTGGTCACCTGTGATCAGTGATCTTTGATGTTACTATTATCATTGTTATGGGTGCCACAAAGCACACCCATACAGGATGGTGAACCTTATTGATAAACTGTTCTGACGGCTCCAGCGACCAGCTGTTCCCCCCCCCCCCGTCTCTCTCCCTCTCCTTGCACCTCCCGATTCCCCAAGCCACAATATTGAAATTAGGCCAGTTAATAACCCTACAGTGGCCTCTTAAGTGTGCAAGTAAAAGGAAGAGTTGCACATCTCTCATTTTAAATTTTTTTTTAACGTTTATTCATTTTTGAGACAGACAGCATGAACGGGAAGGTCAGAGAGAGAGGGAGACACAGAATCTGAAACAGGCTCCAGGCTCTGAGCTGTCAGCACGGAGCCTGATGCGGGGCTCGAACCCATGAACTGCGAGATCATGACCCGAGCCAAAGGTGGACACGCCATGACTGAGCCACTCAGACATCCCGCACATCTCTCATTTTAAACCAAAAGCTAGAAATGTTTAGCGAGGAACACATGGAAAGCCAAGGTAGGCCAAAAGTGAGGCCTCTTGCACCAGTTAGCTGAGATGTGAACGCAAAGGGAAAGTTCTTGAAGGAAACTAATAGTGCCGCTCCAGTGAACACACAAATGATAAAGCAAAACAGCCTTACTGCGCGTGTGGAGGAAGCCGTGGTCTAGATAGATCATCAGCCAACCACCACATTCCCTTATACCAGGAAACCTCAGCCAGAGCAAGGCCTTAATTCTTCAATCCTGTGAAGGGTGGGAAAGGTGAGCAAGCTGCAGAAGAGAAGTTCAAAGCTGCCAGAGGTTAGTCAGGAGGTTTAAGGAAAGACGTTGTCTCCATATCATAAAAGTCCAATTCAAAGCAAGCTATCTAGAAGATACAGCCAAGCTAACTAATGAAGGCAGCCACAGTAAACATTTTCCATGTGAATGAAACAGCCTTCTACTGGAAGAAGATGCCTTCTAGGACTGTGACAGCTAGAGAACAGTCCGTGCCTGGCTTCAAAGGACGGGCTGACTTGTTAGGAGCTAATGTAGCAGTGACTTTAATTGGAAGCCGATGCTCATTTACCATTCCCCAAATCCCAGGGCCCTTGAGAATTACGCTAAATCCACTGTGTGCTCTATAAAATGGAACAGCTAAGCCTGGGTGACGGCACATCTGTTTACAACATAATCTGCTAAATATTTTAAGCCCCTGTTGAGACCTGTTCAGAAAAAAAAAAAAAAAATCATTTCAAAATATTACCGCTAATCGACAATGTATACCCGATGGAAGACGTGCAATGAGATGAATGTTACTTTCATGCCTGTTAACAACAGGCAGGTCTGTTCTCTAGCCCACAGATCAAGGAGTAATTTTGACTTTGGAGTCTTATTTAAGAAATACATTTTGAAAAGCTGTAGCTGTCTCATAATTCCTCTGATGGATTTGGGCAAGGTAAATTGAAAACCTAAAAAGGATTCACCATTCTAGACGCCATGAAAACATTCATGATTTATGAGAAGAGGTCAAAATACCAACATGGAGTTTGGAAGAAGTTCATTCCAGCCCTCATGGATGATGTGGGGGGTTTCAAGACATCAGTGGAGGAAGTCACTGCAGATGTGATAGAAACAGCAGGAGAGTTAGAATTGGAAGGGCAGCCTGAAGACGGGACTGATTTGCTACAATCTCACAATAAAACTTGAACGGGTGGGCAGTTGCTTCTTCTGGATGAGCTAAGAAAGTGAGTTTCTCAAGATGGAATCTACTGGTGAAGATTGTTGAAATGACAAGGTTTAGAATATCTCATACATTTAGCTCACAAAGCAGGAGTAGAGGTTGAGAGGATTCACTCCAATTTTGAAAGAAGTTCTACTGTGGGTAAAACACTACCAAACATTATCACATGCTAGAGAAATGATTCCTGAAAGGAATGGTCAATCAATGGTGTGCAATTCATTGTGGTCTTATTTTAAGAAACTGCCCCAGCCACCCCAACCCTCAGCAAATACCACACTGATTAACCAACCAGCAGCCATCGACACTGAGGCAAGACCCTGCACCAACAAAAAGATTAAAACTCACTGAGCACTCAAATAATGGTTAGCATTTTTTAGCAATAAAGTATTTTTTAATTATGGTGCATCGATTTTTTTTTTTTTTAGACATAATCCTATAGCACACTTAATCGGCTACACTGTAGGGTAAACACAACTTTCATATGCACTGGGAAACCAAGAAATTCACTCGCTTTGTTGCAATATTCTCTTCATTGTAGTGGTCTGGAAACCAAAATTCTCCAAGATATGCCTATATATGAAAGCTGATTCTAAAAAACGAATAACAGACAAAGAAAGGGACATTACTTGTTGACATAATAGAATTAATCTATAGACCCTCCTTCCCTCACCTACCAACATGACAGCTGTAAAATAAATGCTCTGGAAGCCATCCACTTAGAACTATGGCACCAGGTCGCTTACCGGTTAGCAGGAGGAGAAACGATAAGAAAGAAACAAAGCTGAGCTATTATATAGTAAGACGACCAGTTGAATCACTTTCAAAATACTCACCTGCTTAGCTGCATATCATTAGGGACAAACTAAAATCGAAATGAGGCATCTAGTGAATTCTAGAATATTTGGACTAAAGTCATTTGAAAGAATGCTGAAGAATATTTACTCCATAAAGTTTTGCACTGGTCTTGCATGAATATTTTTACATCTTGTTGATAACTTTTAAAAAAATGTTGCTGTGAGCAAGCTGTTCCCAAAGTGAGTGCAAAATTTCAAGGTGTTAATTATTGTATCAAAACAAGTTTTAGTGAGACATATAAAAAAGGAAAGGGGGTGGAGACAAGAAAGAAAGAAAAGAGACAAAGAGAAAGAAAGAAAAAGAGAAGAAAAAATGAAAGGCTCCCATTTGCAGACCTGTGCCTTAGCCTTGCAGAAAACTAAAAGGCGATTTCACCTTTGGACACCGCTTCAGAAAATGCCATCGTCTATATATTAATCCTAACAGCCCTGTTAGGCTGGTGATTTCACTCCTGTTTTACAGCCAATTTAACAGCTGAGGTAAGGTTAAAACATTATCCCAATCTCCCACAAATGGCTGCAGAGCTGGGATTCAAGGCCAAATCTGCTGAGTGCCCAGAACCTCCAAGTTGTATGAAGCTCCTGGGTCACACATCCATTTTTGAGTCAATTAAATACACACACACACACACACACACACACACACACACACACAGGGCGCCTGGGTGGCTCAGTCAGCTAAGCTGCCATCTCTTGATTTCTGTTGGGGTCACGAGTTCAAGCCCCGGAGACTGGCTCGGATTCCGACTCCCCCGTCTCCCCCGCCCTCTGCCCCTCCCCTGTCTGCCCCTCCCCCATGCTCTCTCTCTAAATAAATACAGTGTGTATAAAAAAAAAAAAATGCTGCATGGGTTAAATATCTACATTTAACAAGTTATTGTGTAGAACACAAAGCATTTCAATAGAATCAGACTGCTCCAAGACAAGGGCAGGATACATAGTCCACAAGGTCATTTGTGGTCCTGTGATAAGACAAACTGAATGTCATCTTTTAATTTGTAGGTTTAGCTGGGCACCTGCATGTATAATCTCATTTGGAAAGGTCAAAAGCCTTTCACTGGGAATGTGGATGACACCCCTGCCAGCCCCCAGGTCTCCCGGAACTGCTACCAAACAGCCCCTAAAGCCAGCTGAGCCCCATGAATCAAGCAGCAGCTGGACAGTGAGGACCACACGCGCTGTCGTTCCAGCGTCCTGGACACGAAACTCCATGGCCACAGCTGCTCTTTGCGCTGCAGGATTGTCACGTCCTGGTCAGACCATCCCACAGGGCAACGTGTGTGTGAGCTTTCCTGGATCAGCGGATTCAGCAGTATTTCCAGTGGTCTGCGTCAGGTGACCCCTGGGGGGTGTTTCCAGTTTCGGAATCAAAGAGAGGAAAGGGAGCAGGGGTCGTCTGGCCCCTGTGTCAAGGCCTCAGGAGGCCTCGAAAGAGAACCCGCCCTGCACGAGAGCACAGGGCGCGGACGCAAGCACAGCGGGCACATCACCCTGGCCCCACGGCCCGGCAGAGCCCGCCCCGCGCGGGAAACCGGCGGCCCCGCCCCCGCCCCAGGAACGCTCCGCCCCGCGCCCGAGGCCACGCCCCTGAAGGGTCCGCTCCTGCCCCAACTCCTTGGCAACCAGAGGGACGCTTTCTCCTTAGCTACCGGTGCGGCTGCCACCAAGGGTGAGGAAGAGGAAGTTACTGCACCCATGGAGAAAGTTATCCGGATCCAGAGGGTGTTTATAAACCTGCTGGATTCATACAGCAGCGGGAACATCGGGAAGGTGAGCAGCGGAGGGTCAGAGTGGAGTCCCAGACCCCAGCTCCCGGTCCCCCGCCCCGGGCTCCCGAACCCCCGAACCCAGCGAGGGTCTGTGCCACGGGGCGCTGTCAGAGGCTCCCCTTAAGAGGGGGTTCCTGGTCCTGGGCACCAGTCTGCACGCAGAGCTCCAGCTGGAAGCCCAGGTGTTTGCAGGAGGGAGTCCGAGGGCAGAGAGGTGAGGGTGCAGGGAACCAGGCCGCAGGGCAGCATGCAGGGAGCCCAGGGCCCGCGAGACTTGGCGACTGACAAAAATGTTTCTTTCTTTCTTTTTTAAAATGTTGTATTTATTTTTGAGAAAGCCAGAGAGAGCGTGAGCAGGGGAGGGTGAGAGACAGAGGGAGACAGAGAATCTGAAGCAGGCTCCAGGCTCTGAGCTGTCAGCACAGAGCCTGACATGGGGCTCAAACTCACAACCTGTGAGATCATGACCTGAGCTGAAGTCGGACCCTTAACTGACTGAGCCACCCAGGCGCCCCCAGAAATGTTTCTTTTAAAATCAGAAGGAACCAAATGAAACGTTAGAGTCAAAGATTGTGGGTCTTTATGGCAATACAGTCATGAAATATAATTTTTCCTTTTTTTGGGGGGGGGAGGAAAAGGCCCATGAAAGTCAGAAGGTGGGCCTGTTCAGCAGTCAAATGGTGCCTCAGGCGTGCTCAGCACTCCACTGATATTTGTTGCATAAATTAAAGCAGAATCCAACACAAAGGCCCACATCTGGGGGCAGGGAGGGGGTGGAGGTCAGGCTCTTGGTTTATATTCCAAATCCAATGAAAGCTACTGGATTATTGTACAAAGAGAGGCGAACCTGACTGAGATTAGGAGAGTGGGAGGGAAGGGAATTTAGCTTTTTACTTTACCCCCCTTTTGAGCTCTGATTATTTTTTTACAGTATAATATTTTTAGAGCAAATTTTCTTTTCTTTCCATTTGTAGAGATCTTTTGCAAAAGCTTATCAGTAACAGAATTTTCAGTTATTCCTTAATTCACCTGGACCTCTAGCTCTGGCCTTTTAGGAAATTGCTGTTCTCTGTACCAAGCACCATGTGAGTGGGAATAAGAAGTCTATTAAAGAAATGAAGGCCAGGTCTCTGGTCTTCAGGTTCCCGGCCCAGCTGGGCAACGCCACCCGCTCCCCACAGCCCCTGCTCCCCCCTCTCTGTCCCGGGACAGAGCAGTGTGGCGGGCGTGGTACGTGTGCAGCCTTGAGATCCCAGGGTCCAGCTGTACCCCTCCCTGCCCGTGCAATCTTGGGCAAGTTACTTCCAGCTGGGCATCTCTTTCCTCATCTGTGAAATGAGATAATAAAATTGAATATGTATGTTTGAGAGAGAAATGAAAATATACATGACATACTTGGAAGAATTATCTTCCAGTAAGAGGTTGAACCTGCTAATCTTGCATTACTAACTCAAAGTGACGTTTATCAAAATAAATGAGGTGGGACTTCCTGTTTGTTTCGTTTTGGTTTGCTTTTCCTCCCACGGTGTAATAATATCGTGATTACATACATGTTAAATATGTAAATTAAAACCATTCTTTTTTTTTTTAATTTTTTAACATGTATTTATTTTTGAGACAGAAAGAGACAGAGCATGAACGGGGGAGGGGCAGAGAGAGAGGGAGACACAGAATCGGAAGCAGGCTCCAGGCTCTGAGCCATCGGCCCAGAGCCTGACGTGGGGCTCGAACTCACGGACCGCGAGATCGTGACCTGAGCTGAAGTCGGACACTCAACCGACTGAGCCACCCAGGTGCCCCTAAAACCATTCTTATAAAGTATACATACATATTATATATACATACATATACATTTGTGTATACACACACACACACACACACACACACGTATATATGAAACTCTTTAACATTTCATAAGCCACTCCCAAGGATAACTTCTGTAAAATAAAAAGCGAAACTTCGCCAACTTCATTCTATTTCATTACTTGTAAAGGTAGCCACTGGCCACATGTGGCTATTGAACGTTTCAATGTGGCGAATCCAAATGGAGATTAGCCTACCGTCAGTGTAAAATGCACATCGAATTTCAAAGACTTAGTGTGAACAAAAAGGAACATAAAAGATCTCATTAATAATTTTTTTCCACTGATTACATGTTAAAGTGATAATATTTTGAATCTGTTGGGTAAAGAAAACATTATTTAAATTAGTTACACTGGTTTCTTTTTACTGCTGTTAATGTGGCAACTAGCCAATTTAACTTACCTGAGTTGATCACATTACACTGCTACGTTTCTATTAGACAAGATCATCGTGGTGACCCCAGCCCTGCTCTGCCCATTGCCAGAGCAGGGCAATATTCTTAACACCTTCTTTAAGTTCTCTGGGCCTGGCTTCCTCATCTATAAAAGAGAGTGCCATTGGGGCACCCGGGTGGCTCAGTCGGTTGAGCATCTGACTCTTGATTTCGGCTCAGGTCATCATCTCCAGGATGGGGAGGTCAAGCCCTGCATCAGGCTCTGCACTGACAGTGCGGAGCCTACTTGAGATTCTCCCTCTCTCTCTGCCCCTCCCTTGCATGCACTCTCTCTTTCTCAAAAATAAATAATAAACTTTAAAAACGCTTTAAAATTAGAGTGCCATTATAGTACCCACTTGGCCGTGTTACTGGGGTCATTGTTAGTTTCAGCAAACCACCAGGGTAAAACGCATCGGCTATACACGTGGGGTACCTCTAGCAAGCCCTCAAGAATGGTCGGTGTTTAGAATCATTCCAACTGTCTACCCTTTCTCTAAGTTGTCCTTAGTATTTTCTTAGCAAGTTTGTGTTTTCTTGCAGTTCCTGTCTAACTGTGTAGTCGGGGCTTCACTTGAAGAAATCACAGAAGAAGAGGAAGAAGAAGAAAGGAAGTCAGCCATGGAAGCCTCATCCACACTGAAGGACGGCACGTTCCAGATCGTGGGTACGCTTTCCAAGCTCGAAGGCGTTCGGCCCAACTTTGCCGTGGAGACATACAGCGTAAGTCCAGGTGGCTTTTGCTAAGTGTTGACCGAGGGCAGAGTCACCTTGCTCTCCAACACCTTCACAATATGCTGTTATTCTCTGCTTCTCCTTCTCTCTTCCGCACACATGGGGGTGCAGGAAGGTGTGGGACAGGTGGAGGCAGGTCTTTCTCCCCTGACGGAGAACAACCATTGTCTCCACTTTAAATGTGTGCCTGGAGCAAAGAATTTAAATTAGATACTCCTGGAAGGGATGGATCTAATTTGGACTTGCAGACTCACAGAATCTTCTAAACTGTGTTCAAAATGCGTGCTGCCCCTCACTACCCAACTATGGTGGGCATTTTCTGGGAGGGAGAAACCTCCTTTGGTAATAAGCCACTAGGAAATAACATATCATTACGTTGCTGTCTTACTGAGAAACTGTGCGCGTTGTTGAACCCAACTCTGTGCTCGGGAGTTAAATATAACACGAAGACAGTGTGGGGATAAAGAGGAACGATAGTTTTATTACTTTGCCAGGCAAAGGAGGCTACAGCAGGCTAATGCCTTCAAAACTGCAGACCCTTCCGGTTAAAAAACGGGCAGGAGACACGAACAGACATTTTTCCAACAAGACATCCAGATGGCTGACACATGGAAAGATGCTCAACATCACGCATCATCAGGGAAATACGAATCAAAATCACATTGAGATACCGCCTCACACCTGCTAGAATGGCTAAAATCAACAACACGGGAAAAAAAAAATAAAATCAACGACACGGGAAAAAAAAAATAAAATCAACGACACGGGAAAAAAAAATAAAATCAACGACACGGGAAAAAAAATAAAATCAACGACACGGGAAAAAAAAATAAAATCAACGACACGGGAAAAAAAAATAAAATCAACGCCACGGGAAAAAAAAAATAAAATCAACGCCACGGGAAAAAATAAATAAAATCAACGCCACGGGAAAAAAAATAAAATCAACGCCACGGGAAAAAAAAATAAAATCAACGCCACGGGAAAAAAAAATAAAATCAACAACACGGGAAAAAAAAATAAAATCAACGACACGGGGAAAAAAAATAAAATCAACGACACGGAAAAAAAAAATGAAATCAACAACACGGGAAACAACAGGGGTTGGTGAGGATGTGGAGAAAGGGGAGCCCTCTTACACTGCTGGTGGGAATGCTGATAGCACGGAGGCTGCTCGGATTCTCTCTCTCTCCCTCTCTCTCTGCCCCTCCCTCCTCTCTCTCTCTCTCTCTCTCTCTCTCAAAAATAAATAAATAACCTTAAAAAAAAAAGTTAAAAATAACAACTACCCTACAAGCCAGCAATTGCACTACTAGGTTTTTACCCACAGGATACAGAACTACTGATTCAAAGGACTATATGAACCCTGATGTTTATAGCAGCTTCATCAACAATAGCCAAATTATGGATAGAGCCCAAAGTCCGCTGACTGATGAACAGATAAGAAGATGTGGTGTGTGTGTGTGTGTGTGTGTGTGTGTGCGCGCGCGCGCGTGTGTGTATACGTACGTATATATATATATATATAATGGAATATTACTCGGCCATTAGAAAGAATGAAATCTTGCCATTTGCAACGATGTGTGGATGGAGCTAGAGATTTTTATGCTAAGTGAAATAAGTCAGAGAAAGACAAATACCGTATGATGTCACTCATATGAAAACAGATGAGGGACACCTGGGGGACTCGGTTGAGCGTCCGACTTTGGCTCAGGTCATGATCTCACAGTTCAGGAGTTCGAGCCCCACATCAGACTAGCTCCTGTCAGCCTGTCAGCACAGAGCCTGCTTCAGATTCTCTGTCCCCCTCTCTCTGCTCCTCCCCCTGCTTGCACTCTCCCAAAAATAAATATTTTTTTAAATAAATAAAACAGATGAATATAGGGGGGAAAGAGAGAGAGAGAGAGAGAGAGAGAGAGAGAGAGAGAGAGAGAGAGAAGTAAACCAGGAAACAGACTCTTAACTATCGAGAACAGTTACCAGAGGGGTGCAGTGGGGGTGCATGGGCTAACTGGGTGATGGGCATTAAGGAGGACGCTTGCCGTGTTGATCAACAGGTGTTGTATGTAAGCGACGAACCACTAAATTCTACGTCTGAAACTAATATTACACTGTACGTTACGTAACTGGCATTTAAACAGAAACTTGAAAACAACAACAACAACAGCAAACTGCAGACCCACCCTTCAGGGTGGTCTCAGGGCTGGCACCTGCCATCCAAGTCTGGTTACTAAGTGTACATTGAGGTCAGCGGGGTGTCAGAATCCATACCGTGTTCCTGGAGCAAAGGATTCTACAGAGAAACAAGTGAAGAGGAGAGGGGGGCTTCAAGAACAAAGAGGAGAAGCATCTGTTCCCTTTCGAGTCAAGCCTTGCTGAACCACCAGTGTGTCCAACTTAACTTCCCACCGTCTTCACCTTTCTCTATCAGTTTCACTGCCCCCGCATGACAAATTCTACACACACAACCTGAGACATTTGAATGCCTCCAGTAGGGGTGTCAGCCTCTCATCAGCCTGCCTGCGCTCTTCAGACCCTGCTATACAGCTCTGCACACGCCGTACCCTGGAACAGACTTTCCTCTGCCAACCCCACCCAGCCCTGTTCGTTCCGCAAGACTTAACTCAGGATGTCATCTCCTCCAGGAAGCCCTCGGTGATTCCCACTTCTTCCCCACTCCCCGTTTGGAATCTGAGCTCTTTTCTTGGACTCCCACAGCATCTTTACCTGCCTACATCATCCCACTTTTCCCACTCCATTGTTATTATCTGTCTGTTGTGGGTCACACTGCCCCTGATGGTTAGCCTTAAGAATAGACCGAGCCTCACTTATTCCCCTGTTTATCCGTGCGTCTTTGGCACGTAGCACATTAACTGGCTGAAAGCAGCCCTCAATAAACACTCGTGAAATGAACGAAAGAGTCCTCTCCCCCCCAACCTGCCATCTTAGGGAACTTTCTCCACCACTTACCCCCTTTCACCCTCTCCTGGGTCTTCAGTCACCACGGGCTTCTTTCTTTCTGCCTATACATGTGTTCAATGCACACATCTTTTGAACTTCATTCGGCTTTCCTGGTGGCTACCAGCCTCTTTCTCCGCCCCTGGCCCCTGCCCCCTCAGAGAGGGTCCAGCCACAGAAAATACCCTGACCCGTGTCACTGGTCTAATTCCCGGCTGGCCTAATTGCCAAAGTCCTATCTTACCTGGCTTCCCAGGAGAAAGTCTCCTTCCCTCTTCTGCGGTCTTTACCCCCTGACTTCCCTCGTGCATCTGAACACTCCTTGTTTCACTGGCTCCTTTTCCTCTTTCTGTCCTTTAAATGCGCTCCCTCCTTTCTCGTAATGGATGTCCCTCCTCAAGCTTCTCTGGTCCTATGGCTCCAGCTCCCCCATACGAGCCAATGCCTTTCAAATCTGTCTCCAGCCCTGTTGACCAGCAAATCCAACTGCCCCCTGGTGCACTCCCCCAGATGTCCTGCTGGCACTTCTAGTTCAATAGGCCCCCAAATGAAATTTATTTTCCTCCTCTACAAAACTACTCTGCCTTTCAGGACCTAGATATGTTTGGGCTGTTTGGGGCTGCAAGTCATAGGGGGAAAAGGCAAGGCAAACTGGCTTAGTAAAGAAAGAAATTCTTCAGTTTATGTGGCTGGTTGTCTCAGGGAAGATGCAGCTTCAGGGCTGGCGTGATCCAGGGGCTGCAGCTCCTTTTTCTGCCCCTTCCTGGCCTCTCCCTTCCTTTAAGGGTGACGTCACTCTTGGGCCGGGAGCAAGGCGGCAACGGTCCAGGGTATCAACGTTCACACACAGCAACACCGCGGTGAAGAGAACTTCCAGAAGTCCTCGGAGAAAGGAGGATGAACAATCCCGCGGTCCCCTGCAGGCGTCTCCTTGAATCTCACGGTTTGGAAGTGAGTCACATGCCCATTCCTGAACGGATCACTGTACCCTGAGATCAATAAAGCCCAGCCCTGAAGCTAGGAGTGGAGTTCAGATCCCCAGGCTGAGAGGGGGGAGAACCTGAACAAAATTGGGGTTCTGTCGGGAAAGGGGAAGAGGAAATGGACGTTTGTGTGCTCCGGACCGTCCATCACGCACTCCCCGCTACCGCAGCTGTGGGCTCATGGCGCCCCCTCTTGGTCACGAGGTCCTCACCTGGGCGCCTCACAGCCTCTCCACGAGGTGCCCCCTTCCCCTTAGCGTGGCCATTTGCGTTAGTTCAGATCTTTACCGGCGCCCACCATTTACACTGGAGTTCGGATCCGTGAACGTGTCTCGAGCGTCCTAAGGATCCACAGAGGCGCGTGGAGCTCACACCTCGCAGGGACTCGCACACAAACACGCAGCCCCACGGCAGTGCAGTGGGCACGACCGCAGAGGTGTGGACACAGCAGCATCTGAAAAGGGCAGTTGATGAGCGCTCGGTCTTAGGTACGGAGCCAGGCAGATGTAGCTGCACACCCTTCCTACCACACAGATCAGCCCCCCCGCCCCCCCACCCCCGCCCCCCTCAGCTCCTCTGGTCTGGAGATCCCGGAGCCTCCATCCGGGATGGAGGATGGTCCACTACTGGGAGAAGCTGGGACTGAAGCCCAGCCTCTAGGGCTGAGTAGAGACTGCCAGGCAGATAAGGGAGCAAGGAAATGTCACACAAGGCGGGAACACATGGGGAAGCGTGTGGTATGCTTTAGAATAGGAAAAACATCAGCATAGCTAGAGCATGGGTTGCAGGGAACCAAGGAGAAGAGGCAAGGGTGGCATGTAAGGTGAGAGAGAGCAGAGGATGGAAAACATTAGGCTGCTCTAGTTTGTGGAAGGTGCCTCTGCCTGGCTCAGCAAACCATCTACTATTCCAGGCTCTGCTGAATGAGCTCATATTCACTCTTCAATCCAACTCGAATGTCACCTCCCAGGAGCCTTAATCACATATTCCTCCTGGTCTATCAAACCTCAGATGTACCTCTATGATAGCCCTTTCTATATTGGGGGCTGCCATGTAAGGCTGGGCAGGTTGCACACTGTGCAAGGGTGCCTGCCTAAGGACATGAGTAGGAGCTGTGTTCTGCTGGGTTCAGAGTGCCCCAGAGTAGGTGCTGCCTTATAATTTCCCCACAAAGAGCAGATTGCCTTTTTCTAATTTTTCAAAGGCTTCTTATATCCTTAGATATGTCCTTGTCTGCATTAGACTATAATTTGCTATAAGTTTTCCCAACAAAACACACACACACACACACACACACACACACACACAATGCTCCTTAGTGTAAACAACCAGACATTATTCATTTTGCCTCTATCCTCGGGGTCAAACACAAGGCCCCCAAATGTTGGATGGGTAAACAAATGAATGCCCAAATGTGGTCACGCAACGTCTGATCAGGGTGGCCATCCTCTTGGAAACGTGCCTGTTTCACCCGAAATCCAACTATGATTTCACATGCGTGTGCGTGTTTCTTTGGACGCCGCTCTCACACGCTGTCACGGGCTGGAATCATAGATGCTTCCTCTTCTTTCTCTTGGGCAGCATCTGGAGCACACGCCTTCCATTTGTCCAGTGACTTTCTTCCTTCCTTTCCCAGGTCATTTCTGAATCTAGATCGGTCTCAGGTGCGTTGGGAGAGCAGGGTCGTCCTGTATCGTCTCACTATTGAAAAATTAAAAACTGATGTTTGGATCGGCATTTTCAGAGTGTCTTCCCTTCTGCCCATTCAGCCCAGAAAAGAAACAGAATGGAGTGTATTATGGATTGAACTGTGTCTCCCCGAAAAAAGATCTGTTGAAGCCCTAACCCCAGAAAGCTCACGATGTGACCTATTTGGAGATAGGTCTTCACAGAGGAAATTGAGTTAAAAGGAGGTCATTGGGGTGGACCCCTCATCCAATACGACCGACATCCTTACCAAAAGGGAAAACTTGGACCCAGACACGTCTACAGGGAGAACACCTGGGAAGAGGAAGGCGGAGATGTGGTTGATGCATTAACCAGCCAAGGAATCCCAGAGATTTCCTGAGAGGCACCAGAAGCTAGGAGAGAGCCACGGAGCTGAATCTCCGTCACAGCCTTCCGAAGGGACCGGCCCTGCCGACACCTCGATCTTGGACTTGTGGCCTCCAGACCGTGGGCCATGAATTTCTGTGGTTTAAGCCACTCAGTTTGTGGCCAGGAAGGAACAGCTACCTAAAACACAGTGATCGCCAAAGTTACTTTTGTCTAATGCAAGCACTTTTATATTTCCACCCATTAAAAGTTCCTGTGTTTTCGAAATATTCCCAACTGTCGACTGTAATAAGGCACCTTGCATGTACGAAGAGAATGGATGAATGCCATCGTGAGGGTTCTGAAACCATCCACATTCATCACTCATCAGCACTTCTGAGCGTTTCAGGATATATAATGGCTCAAGTAATCTTACATAGAGTTTGCATTAGTTTCAAATGCCTCACACATTTTTCTTCCAGTATGTTCTAATTCTTCCCTTCTGAATTGGGGTTTAAACAGCCTGCAGAAATAGTACCTAAAATCATTATGCAATTTTTTAATCATCTGTTCCCAGCTATTTTCATAAACTTATTTGTTACTTGGAAACTACACACAGAAGAGAGCCAAAATTTCGTTTTAAATAGAAACCCTGCAAATGTTTCCTGTAGGACACTTCATCTGCCGTATATCTAATTTGGAAATTGTCATTCCAGCTAAATATTAAGGTTAGCGCCTTGCAACAAATGACTGTCACATCTCTTTTTCAGAACATCTCTCGGGAGGACCTTCTCATGCGCCTCCTGGAGTGTGACATCATCATTTATAACATCACCGAGAACCCACAGCAAGCAGAGGAGGCCATCTGGGCAGTCTCTGGTCAGTGAACTTCTTTCTTTTGTCTCCAGGGATGCTGCTTTTGTGCAACTTACTTAACCCAAGAGTCATCTAATGAACACGAGGCAAATTAGGACCATGGGAAAACTGACCTGAGACTTACCTAAAACATGAAATGAAATTAGGCTAATGAGGGGCGCCTGGGTGGCTCAGTCGGCTGAGCGTTCAACTTTTGATTTAGGCTCAGGTCATGATCCCAGAGTCGTGGGATCGAGCCCCGTGTTGGGCTCTGAGCGTGCAGCCTACTTAAGATTCTCTCTCTCTCCCTCTGCCCCTCTCCCCCGTTTGTGTGTGCATGCTCTCTCTCTCTCTCTCTCTTTCTCTGATAAAAAAAAAAAGCTGATGAATATTCATCAGCCTTTGGATAGTGTTAAAAGATAAACCGAGGCATATGAGAATCTTTAAGAGTTTATTTGAGCAAAACTCGGTTCACGAGAGCACGCCATGCCGGAAGCGGCTTGGAGAGCTTCACCAACAGGGGCCAGGGGAAAGACTTACAGAGCAAAGGCAGAGCAAAGTGAGGAAGTTATTTGATTGGCTATAGTGTACTCAGCTGGCTTACCTGGAAGAAGCTAGTTGACTGTGACTGGTTGTCCTTAGGTGTTGGTTTCCGAACCTTGCAGCCTGTAACAGACTTAGGTTTCGATTTGTTCATGTGGACTAACTACTATGGCCTTAGAGTCAGCTGAGACTTCATGGCCCCCTTGTTTGATTAAACAATGGGTGGGGCGCCTGAGGGGCTCATTTGGTTGGGCATCCCACTCTTGACTTCGGCTCAGGTCATGATCACACAGTTCGTGAGTTCGAGCCCCACGTTGGGCTGTGCGCTGACAGTGTGGAGCCTGCTTGGGATTCTCTCTCTCTTCTCTCTGTCCCCTCACCTTAAAGTAAATAAACAAACTTAAAAGGCAACTTTGATAAATAAATAAATAAATATATAAAATAAGCAATGGGTGCTTCTGAAGGATAGAACATTTTTTTTTAATGTTTATTTTTTGAGAGAGAGAGAGAGAGAGAGAGAGAGAGAGAGCACAAGCAGGGGCAGGACAGAGAGAGAGACAGAGAGAGAGAGGGAATCCCAAGCAGGCTCCATGCTGTCCGTGCAGAGCCCGACGTGGGGCTCGAACCCAGGAGCCATGAGATCGTGACTTGAGCCGAAGTCAGACGCTTCACCAACCGGGCCACCCAGGCACCCCAAGGATAGAACGTTTTTAATCATGAAAGGAAACAACTTTCAAAATTCAACGTGTATTCATTCTACAGGCACTGCTTAAGGAGGCGCGGTCGAAGGTACTGGGGAGATACGAAGACAAATAAGAGATTATACCCTCAAGGCCCCTGTAGCCCCACAGGAGAGCTAAGGCACACGTGAGGAACTCTGATGCAGGACAGAGAATGGCATGTTTATCAGACAGGTATCACAAGGGGGATGTGACTTTAAGAGGAGAGGAGTTATTTCTTAGGTTCCAATAAAACTTCATTTATAAAAACAGGCGCTACGTTGCCAACCCTCGAATAAGATGAACAGCAAAGTGACATTTTGGCTTAAATGAAAAGAAATGGGACGGAGCCTCGCGAATGACCGTACCATACTCAGGGAAGTGATGGAGAAGTACCGTCCGCGGATGTGTGAGATTCCTCAGGAGCTTAGAGCGTTTGATTTCTCTGTTTTAACTGTGCCTACATTTCATCCAGTAGGGAACAAATCAAAAGCAGGAACATTGTGTCATCTTTTGAAACAGATTCTTTGAAAGCCTACTTTCTGCATTTTGTCCCTTTGCAAACATTTACAGATGATGTGTAACTGCGCCTTCTGAAATAATTGCACCACTTAAAAATCATAATTAGAGCTAACATGTAATGAATCCTTATTTTGTGTCAGGCTTTGAACATTGATTTTTCTATATAATGTATTCTTGTAATTAATTTTTTTTTTTTCTGAAATGAAACCTGGACATGTTTGGGGGCGTTTGGGTGACTCAGTTGGTTAAGCGTCTGACTTCGGCTCAGGTTATGATCTCACAGTTGGTGAGTTCGAGCCCATGTCAGGTTCAGTGCTGACAGCTCAGAGCCTGGAGCCTGCTTTAGATTCTGTGTCTCTGTTTCCCTCTGCCTCTCGCCTGCTCTCTCTCTCTCTCTCTCTCTCTCTCTCTCTCTCTCTCTCTCTCAATCTCCCAAAAATAAACAGACATTAAAAAACTAAAACAAACCTGAACATGTTTGGAAAATTAAGAAGCACAGTAGGGCTTAGAATAAAAAGTTATGATGCCCTGAATACCCTTTCAACTCTATCCCTATACCCCAAGAGAAACCTCGTTTAACCCACTTGTGCTTTTTTTCCTACATAAAAATACCAGCATTGATGTCCTGTGATTATGAATTTTAGACGTTAACCACTGCCCTCCAGCTGTGACAGATGGGTTTTAGCTCCTCATAGGACCCCCCCACCCTGTTCCTCAAGAGACCATAATCATTTCTCAAACGTGGACACTGTATCTCCTTCCATGAGCCTTAAAACGTAGAATGTGTGTTATTGCTTCCTCCTTCATTCTAATAAGGAGATTTAATGTACGTTCGTTTGTTTATTTTAAATATAATTTATTGTCAAACTGGTTTCCATACGACACCCAGTGCTCATCCCAACAGGTGGCCTCCTCATTGCCCATCACCCACTTTCCCCTCCCTCCCACCTCCCATCAACCCTCAGTTTATTCTCAGTTTTTAAGAGTCTCTTATGGCTTGGCTCTCTCCCTCTTTTTTTTTCTTTCCCCTCCATCATGGTCTTCTGTTAAGTTTCTCAAGTTCCACATATGAGTGAAAACATATGGTATCTGTCTTTCTTGACTTATTTCACTTAGCATAATACCCTCCAGTTCTATCCAAGTTGTTGCAAATGGCAGGATTTCATGCTTGCTCATTGCCAAGTAGTATTCCATGGTATATATAAACCACATCTTCTTTATCCATTCATCAGTTGATGGACATTTAGGCTCTTTCCATAATTTGGCTATTGTTGAAAGTGCTGCTATAAACATTGGGGTCCAAGTGCCCCTATGCATCAGCACTTCTGCCTGTATCCCTTGGGTAAATTCCTAGCAGTGCTATTGCTGGGTCATAGGGTAGATCTATTTTTTGTGGAACCTCCACACTATTTTCCAGAGTGGCTGCACCAGTTTGCATTCCCACCAACAGTGCAACAGGGTTCCTGTTTCTCTACATCCTCGCCAGCATCTATAGTCTCCTGAGTTGTTCATTTTAGCCACTCTGACCGGCATGAGGTGGTATCTCAGTGTAGTTTTGATTTCTATTTCCCCGATGATGAATAATGTTGAGCATCTTTTCATGTCTGTTGGCCATCTGGATGTCTTCTTTGGAAAAGTGTCTATTCGTGTCTTCTGCCCATTTCTTCACTGGATTATTTGTTTTTTGGGTGTGGACTTTGGTGAGTTCTATATATAGATTTTAGATACTAGCCCTTTATCTGATATGTCACTTGCAAATATCTTTTCCCATTCCGTTGGTTGCCTTTTAGTTTTGTTGATTGTTTCCTTCGCAGTGCAGAAGCTTTTTATCTTGATGAGGTCCCAATAGTTCATTTTTGCTTTTAATTCTCCTTTGGAGACGTGTCGAGTAAAAAATTTCTATGGCTGAGATCAAAGAGGTTGTTGCCCACTTTCTCCTTTAGAGTTTTGATGGCTTCCTGTCTAACATTCAAGTCCTTTATCCATTTGAGTTTATTTTTGTGAATGGTGTAAGAAAGTGGTCTAGTTTCATTCTTCTGCATATTGCTGTCCAGTTCTCCCAGCACCATTTGTTAAAGAGACTGTCTTTGGGGCGCCTGGGTGGCTTAGTCAGTTAAGCGGCCGACTTCGGCCCAGGTCATGATCTCACGGCCTGTGAGTTCAAGCCCCGCGTCGGGTTCTGTGCTGACAGCTCGGAGCCTGGAGCCTGTTTCAGATTCTGTGTCTCCCTCCCTCTGACCCTCCCCCGTTCATGCTCTGTCTCTCTCTCTGTCTCAAAAATAAATAAACGTTAAAAAAAAAAAATTGGGGCGCCTGGGTGGCGCAGTCGGTTAAGCGTCCAACTTCAGCCAGGTCACGATCTCGCGGTCCGTGAGTTCGAGCCCCGCGTCGGGCTCTGGGCTGATGGCTCAGAGCCTGGACCCTGTTTC